TTCTTCTTAATCGACGCCATATAGACTTACGGTACGACTTTACCGGCATATTTTATTGACTATTGCTGGTGTCAACGCCTAAACAACTTGTTTTTGACGATTCGCATTGCCGGTTTTTAAATATATTTTTTACAAAGCTTTGTTAAAATTAATCAATTTCTTTTTTTGCGTGTCTGTTTTGTTACAACCCTTTTAGTAACTCTGTCAACAGCGCCTAAAACCCAAGCGCCTTCTGTTATGTGGCCTCTGTTGTACTTTCTCTTGCCAAATTTACTTTCGTCAAATTCAACTTTAGCATTTTTCACTTATTTTATTAAACTTATCTAAATATAAGTCCAATCCTCCTAGTGATTGTAACCCATTGCAGATTTTAAAGGCCGAATATTTATGTAATTCTGTAATATTGGTAATAAGATCGCGGGAGAGCATTCTTAATTCACATATCTATTATTTTTTTGAGAGTAATTATAGAAAGCAATGAGTTTTCAAAGATTGCTCCTTTATAGTAAATGAATCTACACCCACATGCAAAGAAATAGCAGGCAATTTGATTCTTTTTCTTCAATTTGTGTGGATTTGAATTACATATATAACATTTTCGATTGTTTAATTTTTATCATTTTAACCCCTGGTAATATCAAAAAATACTCAAAAAACCGATTAAGTCCTTTGCGTTTTCTTCCTCGTTGTTCAACATTTCTAAAATAAAAATTAAAAAATTTTTGTTAGGGATATTGGGGTGAAGTGAAGTTGTGGAGTGCGACAAAATTGGAGATGGGACTCCTGGATACTTTTAAAATCGCCAGCTTTCCCCACTGTTCCGCCCACCCATTAAAAAGCTTGTCGAGTTTAGTAAATTTTTACTGTGCGCTGATGCTTTGCTGCTGTTATTATTCTTCTGAGGTTGCTTTTTATTTTTCCCTTAGAGATTTTAAAAAAAATTATTTTTTTACATTTATTGGTATAATGGACCAATGAGTTTTGTAAAACATTTAAAGAATTTTTTCATATAATGAATAAAAGGTTTTAATAAACAAATTATATCTCATGCGGTTTTTTTACCACAGGTAAATCAAATTTATGCAGCTTTTCTTCATTTCTGCCAAATATTTTTTTATAGCAAAGTTTATTGCAAAATAATTTATCGATTACTAAAAATAAGTGCAATGAACAAACCATTCTATAAAAATATTACAAATAACCTTTTAAAAAATTCATTGTTAATAATCTTCTTTTTTTCAATACTATCTCTAAATTCTAATGGTCTGATGTAAAGCGAATTGAATCTTCTGTCAATACAAATAGTAAATAATTAATTCAAAAAGATTACAATCAGGATTACTTACAATAAAATTATTTGTCCCTGCCTTTACCCCTAAAGGTAGCGATTTGTTTAATAAAAATCTTTTTTATAGATTTATTTTCACTTTGAAACCTATTGTGCTTCAAAGTTTAATTTCGCATCTACTATTTTATTTTCGGGCGAAATATTGGGTCATTTATGTTCATTGGTGACAATATTACTAACAACATGTAATTTTTTACGATTCTATTTGAAAATATAGAAATGTTTAAAAACGTCGACATATTTGCTAAATTTATTACATGCTAGATTTAATGAATTAAAGAATTTGTCTATCTTTTTGACATACCCGTGTTTGAAATAGTTTTCTAAAATATTATAGGAACTTGTTTATTTTTTATATTCCTCACACGCCAGTTAGTCTTTTGGCCATGGTGTTGCTTGTTGAAGTTGTCAGTTGTTTGCTTCTCAAGGTCCTTTATGATTATTCAAATTCGGTTTCTTAAATATTTATTTTTGAAACACCTTTTGAATTTTAACCAATAACCGTAATATGGTATCAGCGTGAAACACGAGGAATACCATACTTTTATTTCTTTGTATTGATATTAATTGCATTAACAATGCCTTAAAAACTTGAAAGACTCGTTATAGTAAATGGATTTCTGAATTGCGTTATCCGAGAGATTAGATTTTTCGAGTTTTTTTATAAATTGCGATATTTGGTTTTTTAAGATAGGTTTCCAAAAATTTCTAAAACTTATTTCGCTTTCTTTGTATTTACTAATAATTCAGTGCTCTTTTGCTGAAAATTGATTTATTAGAAATGCTTTACCATTTTTTCTTTTTCTTTTAGATTTTAAAATGTGGTGTAATTCTCATACCATATTTTTATAATGAACCAATAATTTTTTATATTAATTTGAAACATCACACATAGTAGTTATTTAATTTAAA